TGCTTATCACAGTGCCACACCAGGATTCCACTTGGTAGGTGTTTTATCTTTTGGATTCCAGCTAGGTTTATTGGTCTCCACAGGATGGGCCCAAGAGGACCAAGGATTCAGCATTCTCATCTGAGCTACAACAAGCTTTGGTCATGGTGGAGGATTTGATCAAGTCTTGTGAGTTGGCCGTGGACCTGGCAGCTGTCACTGGATGTCCGGTATGTTCCTCATCAAGTGCTGGAACATTTCACACAAATGACAGGAATGATATTACAAATACAGGGGATTCTGTGGCACAGTTAAAGGACTCATCTATGGTACACGAAAAGAGGCTAAGTCAGTCAGCAAACTCCTGCTATGCGGTTCCAAATAGTCCCTCAGCATTTCTGGGAATCTTGAATTGTATTCCCCAGTGTCCTGAATGTTAACATTGAACAATGCTCTGTACAAGCCAGAAACATATATGGGCAGGGAGCAAAGTGCTGAAGGTAGAAATTGTTTTATTACTCTTGCTGTTGTTAAAAAATATTAAACGATTCTTCTTCTTGATGAATATTTCCTCCATGAATGGTATTTATTAAATAGATGCTAGCTCCATAAGAGAGAGATGAGGCGTTCTGCTCTCATAAAGCTTTAAAGCCTCAGAAATCCTATACAGGGCCACTACAAGTTGTAACCGAATGGTTGACACTTAACTAGTGAGAGTCTAATATCACTTTACATCATAGATATTGTTGTTGTTGTTGAGTGATGTGGAGTCGATTCCGACCCATAGCGACTCTATATAGGGTTTCCAAGGAGCATATGGTGACTTTGAACTGCCAACCATCCAATTCAAACTGACTGCAGTCCTGTGCATTAACCCCCAGAGCCACACCAGGTAAGCCCCAATAAGTATATATTGTTGTTGTTATTCCTAGGTGCCATTGAGTTAGTACCGACTCATAGCAACCCTGTGCAACAGCAGAACAAAACACTGCCTGATCCTGGGCCATCCTCAGAATCTTTGCTATGTTTGAACCCGCTACTGCTGCCACTGTGCCAATCCATCTAGTTATGGGTCTTGCTCTTTTTCTTCAACCCTCCACTTTACCAAACATGACATCATTCTCCAGGGACTGGTCACTCCTGACAATATGTCTGAAGTATGAAATACAAAGGCATCCTGGCTTCCAATGAGCATTCTGGTGGTACTCCTTCCAATAAAATTGGTTTGTTCTTTTGGCATCCCATGGTACTTTTAATATTCTCCTCCAACACCATAACTCAAATGAAACAATTATTCTACTGTCTTCCTTATTCACTGTCCAACTTTCATATGCCTATGAGGTCAATGAAAATACCATGACTTGGGTCAGGTGCACCTTAGTCCTCAAGCTGAAATCTTTGCTCTTGAACACTGTTAAAAGGTCTTGTGCAGCTGATTTGCCTAATACAATATGTCATTAAATTTCTTGACTGCTGCTTCCATGAGTGTTGAGGGTTGATCTGAGCACAATGAAGTCTTTGGCAACTTCAATCTTTTCTCCATTTAAATGGATGTTGTTTACTGGTTTGGTGGTGAGGATTTTTGTTTTCTGTACATTGAGATGCAATCCATACCAAAGGCTGTGGTCTTTGATCTTCATCAGTAAGCATTTCAAGTCCTCTTCACATTCAGGAAGCAAAGT